GAGAGCCTGAGAGTGAGGGAGCCTGGGAGAGAGAGAGCCCAAGAGAGAGAGAGCAACCCCAAGAGAGCCTGAAAATCAGAGAGACACTGAGAGAGAGAAAGAGACTCTGAGAGAGAGCCCGAGGGAGATCCTGAGAGACAGCCCAGAGAGAGAATGAGCCCAAGAGACCAAGCCTGAGAGAGAGCCCTAGAGAGAGACCCCGAGAGAGAGAGACTGACAGCACGAGAGAGAGAGACCCTGAGAGAGAGACCAAGAGAGACCCCAAGAGACAGCCCAAGATAGAGAGAGAGAGACCCCAAGAGACAGCCCTAGATAGAGAGAGAGAGACCCCGAGAGCCCGAGAGAGAGACAGAAAGAGAGAGCCTGAGACAGAGCCCGAGAGAGAGAGAAAGAGCCCAAGACAGACCTCGAGAGAGAGCCCAAGAGAGAGAGCCTGAGAGAGAGAGACACCAAGAGGCTGATAGAAAGAGACCCTGAGAGAGAGCTCAAGAGATACACCCTGAGAGAGACTCTGAGAGAGAGACAGAAAGACCCTGAGAGAGAGAGAGTCAGTTCGAGAGAGAGCAAAAGAGTGAGACCCCAAGAGAGCAAAAGAAAGAGAGAGAGACTCCGAGAGAGAGACAGAGACCCCAGGAGAGAGCCCGAGAGAAAGCGAGAGAGAGCCCCTGAGAGTGAACCCAAGAGAGAGAGGGAGAGAGACCCTGAGTGAGCCCGAGAGAGAGACCCCGAGAGAGACCCTTAGAGATGTCTGTCTCTCTCTTGGGCACTCTCTCTCTCTCTCTCGTGCTTTCTCTCTCGGTCTCTCTCTCAGGGTATCTCTCTCACGCGGTCTCTCTCTCCCAGGCTCTCTCTTGAGGTCTCTCTCTTTCTCTCAGGGTCTCTCTCTGGGTCTCTCTCTCTCTCTCTGGAGGGTCTCCCTTGCTCTGTGTGTCTCACACTCTGTTTCTGGGTGTCTCTCTCTCTGGGTCTCTCACTCGGGGTCTCTCAATCTCTCTCTCTCTCTGGGTCACTTTCTCTCTCCCTGGGTCTCTGAGTTCCTCTTTGTCCCTCTCTGGGTCTCTCTGTGTCTCTCGGGCTCTCTCTCTCTCTCAGGGCCTCTGTCTCTCGAGGTCTCGGTGTCTCTCAGGGTCTCTCTCTCAGGGTCTCCATTGACGTCTCTCTCAGCTCTCTCAGGGTCTCCCTCTCTCTTGTGGTCTCTCTCTCGGGCTCTGTCTCAAGCTCTCTCTCACGGTCTCTCTCTCTCGGGCTCGTGAGATACACTGAGAAAGCGCCCCAGAGAGAGAGTGAGACAGTGCCCTAGATCCCGAGACAGAGACCAAGAGGGAGACAGAGAGAGACCCACAGAGAGCCTGCAAGAGAGAGGGAGACCCCGAGAGAGGGCCTGAAAGTGAGACACTGAGAGAGACTCTAAGGGACAGCCTGAGGCGAGAGAGTCCCCGACAGAGAGAGACACAGAGAGCGAGCCTGAGAGAGAGAGACCCTGCAAGAGAGAGGGAGAGCCTGAGATAGAGCCCGAGAGAGAAAGACCCCAAGAGAGAGCCCAAGAGAGAGAGGGAGACAATCCAAGAGAGAGAGAGAGAGACCCCTAGAGAGAGAGAGCCTGAGAGAGAGACTCTGATGGAGATCCTAAGAGTGAGAGAGAGAGAGACACAGAGAGATAGAGACCCCGAGAGAGAGAGAGCCTGAGAGAAACAGAACCTGAGAGAGAGCCTGAGAGAGAGACCACGAGAGAGATCCCAAGAGAGACAGTGAGAACCAAGATAGAGAGACCTTGAGACGGAGCCAGAGAGAGAGAGAGAGAGAAACCACGAGATACCGTCTCTCTTGGGCTCTCTCTCTCCCTTGGGCACTCTCTCAGGGTCTCAGGTCTCTTCGGGGTCTATATCTCTTGGTCTCTCTCTTGGGGACTCTGCCTCAGGGTCTCTCTTTCTCAGGATCTCTCTCAGGGTGTCTCGCTCTCTCTCTCTCGTTCTTGGCCTCTCTCTCTTTCTCTCTTGGACTCTCCCTCTCAGGTACTCTCTCTATCACGCTTTCTCTCAGGCTATCTCTCAAGGTCTCTCCCGGGCTCTCTCTCTCTTGTGTTCTCTGTCTTTCTCAGGCTCTTTTTCAGGGTCTCTCTCTCTCGGGCTCGCTCTCGAACTGGCTCTTAAAGTCTCTATTTCTTGGGCTCTCTCTCAGAGATAAGGGTTATCAACCCTTCCCCCAGGTGGCATCTTTGATACACTCCCAGCATGGGAGCATAGACAGGAAAGGAAGAACTGGATCTCAAGAAAGGCCGATGAAAGCAAAGAGCATGAGTGCCAGGTGGTCACTCTGGGAGTGATCCACCACAGTGGGGCCATGGATCTGCAGCTGGGACGACCACAGAGTGAAAATGAGAAATCCTCATAGCCAAATTTCAGCTGCCTTCTGGAGAACAGCCTCCCAGGTCATGACTCTTGCCAAGAGATGTGGGTGGCTCACAGCCCAGGGCTCATGCAAAGAGGTCACCACCAGCAGGAACCACTCAGTGCATTGCAAAAGGAGCAGGCAACAGCCCTAACCCTGCTGTGAGCAGAGATGGTGCTGTCCTCAGTCCACAAGCTGCTCAGCAGCTGGGCCAGGGCGGTGAAGCTGGAACAGGTCTCCAGGGAGGACACATTCCCCAGGAAGAAGGCCACAGGATTGAAGGGACATTGCTTTGGCACCAGGAGGACGAAGATGAGCATGTTCTCAAGTGCAGTCATAGGGCAGGTCAGGAGAGAAAGGAGCTAGACATTGTTCCGAGGATGGAGGTCATTCCCCATTCCCAGTAGGGGAAACCCCACCCATGATGTCTGATCCCCCTTTCTCCATAGAAAGCCAAGGTCCTGCTTGTCTGCTCTCTCCTGGTAAGACAGCTGTGAGGAAGAACATTTGTTTCTTTGGGAGCTGCTTAAAGAGATTGTAGGAGAAGGTGTGGAACCCAGAAGGTGCCTGTGCTCTGAGGAGCTTTTTGTTTTCTAACTGTGCTCTGTGCCCTGAGAGAGGTGAGAAATGCATCTTCTCGTGGGCAGCACTGCTCTTGTTGGAGAACCCCTTCAGCCTGCCCAGGGGAGATGCTCCACAGATGAGCTTCTGTCACAGCTGTAATGAAAGGGAGAGGCCAGGGAGGCAGAGGAAGGTGATGGAGCAGAGAGAGACATTTGCAAGGAAGCTGTCTCATGCCACTGAGATGAGTGCTTGGGATGGTGGGATTTTGCCTGAAGTCACACCCAGAAATGTCAGGGCTCTGTTGGGTGTCCCCATCTGAGCTGGCCTTGTGCAATCCTTACAGCCCCAGGGGTGCTCAGAGACACGAGTCCTTCCCTTGCACACCCACAGGCCATGCTGGGCAGCACTTGGAGTGTCTCCCTGGCCTCCTGCTGCCACTGCTAGAAGCTGGGAGGCCCCTAAGCCCTGCACTGTGTTGCCCTGCTCTGCACTCCTTTGAGATCCCCCACAGCATGAGGAATGGCCACAGGGACCAGGGTTCAAGGGAGCCCATCCAAGTGCTGCAGCCAGGGGATTTCTCAGGGGACGTGGCTCCCAACATGCAGTGATGTCAAGACAGTGTCTGCGCCCTTTGTGTCACCCTGCAGGAATAGATGATGTTAATTATACTGACTGGGGTCAATGTCACCACATGGACATGTTGTGTATGCCTTCGTGTCACGCTGAAACAGAAACGTGTGTTTGAGAGGAGACAAAAACCACCTCTGCAAGATCAGATCTCTCTCATTGTTGGCATGGCCATATGAGGACACTGCTGAGTGTCCCCACCCTGCTCACTCCCACTGATGAGGCGC